ATGAACACCACTTGAGTGTCCTGAGTTGGAGAAGGGCCCAAAGCTTGCTCTAGTTCTACCCTATTTAACTTGTCAATTTACATAGGTAACACTTTTTTCTAAAATGGCTATTATATGTATTCCTTCTGTCTGAATTATTTTATTTTTAGCTCATTTAAAAATTTGCAAATGGATGTTTGTTTTTGTTGTAGAAAAAAGTGGCAAGAATGAACTTATAGTTGTACTGAGAGAGAAAAAATGGGAATTTTAACAAAAGGATTTGCCAAAGAAGGTTTGAACTTACTATTTATAATATATTAAATGCAGAAAACCCCTGTATTTAAATAAATTCTACCATTGCAAAGTGAAGCATTCAGAAGTTAAGAAATGCTACAGGTAAGGGTTCCCATACAGTATTATTTTGGCCTCTTTGTGGATATATATTGTGATAGTTTTGCTTAAAATCATATAGAAGGTCTGTGGCAGAGTCAGGAATACAACCCTGTGCCACTGCTTTAAAACCATAAGAGAATAGCCTGTGCACTGAATGAGGCATGGGTCCTATAGAATAGTGTTTGGTCACATAACTAAACCTGTGCCATATTGTACGTGCACAAGAGGACCAAATTAAAATTTCATGGTCATCCTTAATGCTGGCATTTCCTAACTTTTGGGTGTTCAATTTTGCAACATTCTCGTCCTTTAAATTTAATTGCCTTGGTTCTTAAAAAAGCAAACTTTAGTAACAGAAATTTCTAATGCTGGCTTCAGAAGGGAGTGTGGTCTAGTGGGTACAGGCAACATAGTCACAGACATAGTTTTGTCACATTCATTTGTTCTGCAAAGGCTGCCATCTCTGGATGAATCTTGGGTCTGCCATACTAGTGACAGAGTTCTATTCCCAGCTCTGCCTGAAGTGACCTTGTGCAACCTCTCAGTTACCCTAACTGTAAAATGGGAGGAATGATAATTGCTTGCATCTTAAGTTAGGAGCATGAGTCCTTGCTCATTGTAAGGGTTGTGAAGTGCACAGAATGGTGGAAGAGCTAAGATTAGGAATCATAGTTCTTTCTAAAGGCTGCTGCTGCTGGATTCCATCTGGAGCTCAAGCTCACTGTGGACTGGGAGCATGCTCAGTGCAGATGCAATGTTTAGAGATTTTAGCAACAAGCCTCTAAAAACCTCTGCTGAGCATATGCAAATGCCAATTTTCATAGGCTTAGAGCTAGCCAAACCTGGGGTTTTTATGGGGCAGCAAAAGATGCCTCTAACACCTTCCTATATTTCAAGTTTCTGGTCCAAACTATGGAGATGCTAATACTACTAAGTTTAAAAAAAAAAAAAGTAGTGTGTGGCAGGGCGGGGGTGTCAGGCAGAAAAGTTATAATAGTAAAACTATCTATTCATTCCTCACACTTATTCTCTAAAAACAGCTAATCCATTTTTGCTGGGCTGATACAAAAAAAATTCAAGCAGAGTCCAAGCATGGAAAATGTCAGCTCAAATGGTTAAAAGTGTGGCAAAGTTATAAGCAATTGAAAATAAGTGTTTATAATGAAAAATGTTAGGCAACTTTAACAATAGACATCACTCTGCCTATAATGAACACTTTATCCACTAGAAAGCAGGCTAAACCATGTATGTTTAGAAGCACTAATTTGTACTTCAGACTTCACTCATCTTTTTCTGTTAGTGCAAGAAAAACATACTGAGCCCAACCCTGCTTCTGCTGAAGTCAATGCAGAAATCTACAAAGCATTTAATTTGAAAAAAAATTAATCAAGATATTGGAATAATTTCATCTTTTTTTAGAAAATTTGTTTAGACCCGCTTACTAGTTTTAATTACCTAATATTCAGTAGGTTTCTTATACCTTAGCTGTGGTTTTTTTCGGTTAACGGTGAGCAGGATATCTTGAGAAAGGTGAATTAAAATCCATCACACAAGAAGTAAAATCTAAATTTAAGGTACCGTACCTTGGAAGTATTTAAAGATGCTTGCTTGCTTGGGGGCAAAGCCATTGTGGATAAATACAAATATATGTAAATGGTTTTATGAAATAATTTTAAATCTTATTGGGACTCCACAAGCACAGTGGCTCCAAATTAAAGTACTTCTTTTTTTCATCCAAACATAATTCCTATTCATGCATTGATCTTTTTAACACACTACTTTTAAAGCATATTAGTAAAATATGGAACAACATACTCTTCTATACAATAGATGACATAAATATGTGGAATTACAACTGTCCCTTGTATAAAAGAGGGATGATCCATTTATATTGTCTGGTAAACAAAAAAGCTGATAGGATAATTGTTTTCTGTTTAAATAACCCTGATTCATATCAGAAGTAAAAGGTGTTTGGAGCCTTTAAACTATGATATTTGGGGAAGTTTATTGTTTTGCATTCTGGAATATTACTGAAGTGTATCCTTGTGTAGACATTGTGTGTGAATGTGGAAGAGAACAGAGTAGAGTTTTTACCCTGACTAGAAAAAGGGAACAACTTCTATTTGTTTCTAATCTGGAAGTATCCATCAAGTATCTCCAAGCTGGTCATTTTTGAGCAGGAAATCATGACATTGCTTTAGTGAACACATGGGGAGAATTAAACTGTATAGGCAATGAAATACCAGTTGTTTATCTTGGGTACCCTCTTGCTTTCTTAAACACATACAAGATGGAAACACAGACTTTCTTTAACCTTTAGCTGCATAGCTTCACTGTACAGAAAACTGCAAACAAAACCTGACAGAACAGTAAATCATTTGTGTTCATTTTATTTCATCACTGATCACATTTCCCGTAGACAATAAATGTAATGCTCTGTTGACAGATGTATGGAAATAGATATGCGGTTGGATGATGAAATCTAGGTCAAGACCATTTAAATCTCAGTTTATGCCTTTGCATTATTGAATATTAGTTATAAAATTTGTACATTCTGGTGCGTGACCTCCTCCCTACACTTATAAGATTCCCACTACTCACCCAGACCATTGCTGGGGAGAGCATCCTGCCGAAAGAACTCTGGTGCATAAAGGGCCCATCTCAAATACTCATTGAAGTCAATGAGATTCTTTGTATTGGCTTTAAGGGGCTTCGGAGAAGGACCTTAATACATTGTTCCAGTTGTGATGTGATGTTTCCCAACATGGGAAAATGAAGGGCGTTCAGGTCTTGTATATAACCGTATACCTTGGTACAAATGTATCTGAAGTAATTAGAGTGTTCATCAAGTTATTTATACTATTAGGAGCAGAAAATGAGGCTTCCCTTTGAGAGACAAGACAGGTTCAAACAGCTGGAGGTAGAAATTATGCAGGTATTTTTCCCCAGAGCATGCAGGAGATTAGCATGGAGGACAGAAAGCTACAAAGGGAAATTTTCAATGATTACATTAGGGACTAGACAAAAAGTGCCCACAGTATTGACACACCTGTCCCCTGCTCCTCCTGCCCTAAATAACCATTTAAATAGGAACAGGAGTTCCTATTAAATTGCCCCTTATACTCCATCTCCCTCACAGCCATCCTCACTCTTTTCAAAACAGGAAAATTGGAATCCCAATAAGATGCAAAATAATCTCTCTATTGGCCTTGGTAGAATACACATGGTAAATTTATTTTTCTCTTGTAGCTGGCCTTGCAACTTTGCGGACAGTAAAGATGTTTTAGGGGTAGTGGGGAAGATCCATGTAATTAATCTGCAAATCGAGCAAGGAAAAGCTGCGCACATATTGCAAAGTGGATTGCAGTTGCCAATCTAGTATGGACTCTCTCCCTGCACACCTGGAGGCATACTGTTTGTGTTGTGAGTGAGGCAGCATGTCTCTTAGACCTATCACTGGTGGAGAACTGTGTACATCCCCTTGACATGGCTGTGATATTAAAAGTCGTGATGAGGCTCTAAATTTGAATGAAAAATCTAAATCAGTGATATCATGTTTTGGAAATCATGACTTTCTAGGCTATATGGAAATAACACGGAATGAAAAAAATACATAAAACTTAACCAAACAAAAATGCATAAAATAATTGGATTAAATAAGCTTCCTATAGTACATAACAAATTCATTTGTTCTGTCATCTTTCTGTTCTCATTTATTAGGCACACAGTTATGACTAGTGGTTAGAATACAGAATGAGGAGTTGGGGGGCTTTGGAGATTATATTTTTAGCTCTGCTGTGACGTGCTGTGTGACTATGGCCTATTCCTTTAACTTCTCCATGTTTCAGTTCCCCCTTTTCAAAAGAAGGATGACAATATATGTACCTAACTTATAGGTGTATTATGAGTCTTAATAAGTGTGTGTTAATTATATTGTGATACTTGTTTAAAAAGTAGAGAATATATTATTGTCTACATCTAATTATAAATAACTTATTCTTAAGTGTGGTGTAAAAATGTTGCCAAAGATTTCAAAGAAACATACCTAGGTTATTAATCTAAGTATATCTAATTGACTTCTAAAATGGAGTTATAGTTATGTTATCATATTGTTTTTAAAAATTCCTGAACTTTGTGTGCTGCAATACATTTGCTGCTCGCTGTCAACATGTGTTTGATTTTTTTGAGTATAGCTTTCAAGTAAGAGTGGCTGATGTTTCATAAAAGTAATAATTTAAAAGTAAAAAATATGTTTTCTATGGATATTTAACATTGAATAAGTAATTGTTGTGGCTCACAAAAATAATAAATGAATAAAGTTAAACATCATTTCTGATGTCATCATGGAAACTTCAAACTTTGGTAACAGTATTTTTGCTAATAAAGAATAGCTACAGGTTTGTTTTCCAATAAAATAATATTTTTGTCCTTTTTAAGGTGCAAATGCCGATATTTAGATTGTAAACTCTTTAGGGATGGAATCATATTTGGTTGGGGGGGCACAGTGCTTTACACAGTCAGAGCTCAAACCTTGATTGGCGCTTCTAGGTATTATTGCAATACAAATATTAAATGTTGTTGTTTTATTTTATTTTATTATGTTCCTGTGTTGCTTCCTTTTCTAACAGGTCTATGGAAATGCAGGATCTAACAAGTCCTCATAATCTTGTTGGAAGCAGTGATAATCCGAGTAGTTCCAAACTGGATAAATCTAATCTCAGCAGCACGTCCATCACAACAAATGGAACAGGAGGTAAGTGTAAGACATCATCAATGCACAGAAAGTTGCTATATGTCATTTTTCTATTTTTAATAAACTTTTTAAGTTTAGCATTTTAATTTAATGATGAGCATAAGGCTGATTGATATAGGCAGACAGATATCAGCCCTCAGCAAAAAAAGATGAACAATAGAACATTTCAAATTTGTACAGTTGTTTCCATTTAATTCTGTTCAACAACTTGAAACTGAATGAGGAAAGACATTAGGTCCGGAGACTCAGTTGTCGGCAAGTATTGAAAGTATAACATAAATAATGGTTGTAACATACCAATCTTTTTCAAATCTTCATTGTATATTGCTCAAACCATAGAAATCCTAGAAAGGAACCTTGTCAGGTCATCTAGTCCAGCCCCGTGCACTGAAGCAGGACCAAGTATACGAAGACCATCTCTGACAGCTATTTGTCTAACCTGTTCTTTAATGACTGCTACTATTACTTAAGTTATTACTTAAATGATTAGTGCTCCGTGTACCTCTATAAAGACATTGCTGAAATTTAGGTCAATCACAGTTCTGTTTTCTATGCTAATAATGGATTTTGCTGCCCTTGGTCTGGTGAGTAGTCTGAATGCGACACTGCACAGTGTGAGCAAGGGTATCAGACTACGAGGTGAAATCCTGGCCCCTGTTGTGTCAATGAGTGTTGTGCCATTGATTTCAACAGAGCCAGAATTTCACCCATGGTTCTTAGATGTTGTACACTAGTGTGCACTACACTTATTTTAGCATTTTACACCAAAATATTGGTCATTCAGTTCTTTCTTCCCACAATATAAAGTTTTAATCACTTCTCTGTATGCAAAAATTCCATTAATGTCTGTAACAATTTACATGTGAGCATGGAGGGAATAGACCCCTCTAGTGATATTTTTAAGATTCAGTGTATTCACATTTAAAAACCAAATACCAATATTCCAGAATAAGGAGGGGCTGAAACTAGACCTTTAAGAGCACTAATAATTATATGTGTATATTTTATTTAAATAAACCAGCTAGAATAATATTCACAAAAGCAATACTGTGCAGCTAAAGACTAGGCTCAAAGGGCAAAAACACCTACTGGCATTAAAGAATATTCATGTATATTGAGCAGACATTCAGACAATGAACCATTATACCATTCCCATTCTCAGGAGACAACATGACTGTTTTAAATACTGCAGACTGGTTGCTGAGTTGCAGCACTCCCTCTTCTGCAACAAGTATGAGAGATCATGGTATAGTGCATGTGTGTGACTTTGTGGCTCCACGACTGCTGTGTTACATTTCTCCTGTTTTGTTTCGTTCTTTTGTTCTGTGGTTTAGAACATTTTTATGTGATTTCCTACTTCTCAGAGTCCTTTTGCAGAGCTGGAAAACCAGAAAGAAGCAGTAACAAACATTTATTTTACCATACTTGTTAAGCCATTTCACTAGTAACAAGAATTTTAATTGTCCTAGAATGAGGTTAACTGTATACATCCTCATAATCTGATGGCATTGTTTTCAGAGAGGCTGAGCACCCACAGCTCTGATTGAGCATCCATTGCTCCCAACGATGTCAGCTTCCCGTGAAGCCAGATTAATGTTTTTTTCCACTGAATGTCCATTTATCTTTTTTTAATTTTTAGGTACTATATTACATGCTTACCTGAGCACAAATCAAGGTTGTAAATGTATTGGGCACTTTACAAACATTTTTATGATCCTACAACCAGTTACTACCACTCGTTCCTTTCCTCCCATATGCATTATTATTGTTTTCTTTGTATTTTGGTAACATCTAGGGGCCCAATCATAGCACATGGCCCTACTGTGATAGGTACTATACAAACACATAAGAAAATGATGGTCTCTGCCTCAAAGAGGTTACAATCTAAATTTAGTTTAAATGTGGATATGCATAGTTGTAACTGTTTACAGAATTGAGTTGAGAAGCACATACATGTTTTCAAAGGGGCATCAACATAGACTCTTAAATTTGCAATTGCAATTTTGTGCACACAAAACCGTGCAACTAGATTTATACACAAATTAGTCATACTTCTGCTCAAACAAAAATGCAGGCTTTTACACTTACTCTGTATTTCCACATGTAATTGTATGTCATCATCACAGAGTTAACTCAGTCTCTTACTTACGTCGTTACTCCAACACCCCTGCCTGACCACACACAAAGCTGTCTTTCAACCCGATGCTTTCATCCCGGGCTAACTGGCTTGTCTGCGGTATTGGCTAAATCATGGGTGTTGCTTTCACTCAGGTTAGTAATCTATCCACTTTGCAGTGAGGACTCAGTATAAATCACTCAAGTGCTGGTAGTTCCCACATTTCCTGCCATGTGCACAGAAGGACAGATAAGTTCTCTCATAATTCATTGTGAAAGAATCATAGAGTGGCTCATTTTACAGCAGGACAAATCACCATGGGATATGCCCCCAGAAATCCTCCTACCTGAATGAGTGCAGCACCAGCGAGGACACAGGAACGTGTTAGTCTTTGCAGTATGGCTGTTCACACCCAAGTAAGGCTAATGCAGGTGCTCAGACCCAGGTGCTGATCACCTAGGGTGGCCACTCTCACATTCCTGGAATACTGGACATTCTGGCAATTCCTGCCAGAGTGACTCTGCCCCAACCGTGTTAGTCTGTATCAGCAAAAACAACGAGGAGTCCTTGTAGCACCTTAGAGACTAACAAATTTATTTGGGCATAAGCTTTCATGGGCTATAACCCACTTCATCAGATGCATGGAGTGAAAAATACAGTAGGCAGGTATAAATATACAGCACATGAAAGATGGGAGTTGCCTTACCAAGTAGGGGCTCAGTGCTAACGAGGCCAATTCAATCAGGGTGGATGTGGCCCATTCCCAATAGTTGACAAGAAAGGATGGGGAAATTAGTTTTTGTAGTGACCCAGCCATTCCCAGTCTTTATTCAGGCCTACTTTGATGGTGTCAAGTTTGCAAATTAATTCCAGCTCTGCAGTTTCTTGTTGAAGTCTGTTTTTGAAGGTTTTTTTGCTGAAGAATTGCCACTTTTAAGTCTGTTGTTGAGTGTCCAGAGAGATTGAAGTGCTCTCCTACTGGTTTTTGAATGTTACAATTCTTGATGTCTGATTTGTGTCCATTTATTCTTTTGTGTAGACACAGTCCAGTTTGGCCAATGTACATGGCAGAGGGGCATTGCTGGCACATGATGGCATATATCACATTGGTAGATGTGCAGGTGAACGAGCCCCTGATGGCGTGGCTGATGTGGTTAGGTCCTATGATGGTGTCCCTTGAATAGATATGCACACACAGAGTTGGTAACAGGGTTTGTTGCAGAGATTGGTTCCTGGGTTAGTGTTTCTGTTGTGTGGTGTGTGGTTGCTGGTGAGTATTTGCTTCAGGTTTGGAGGCTGTCTGTAAGCGAGGACTGGCCTGTCTCCCAAGGTCTGTGAGAGTGAGGGATCGTCCTCCAGGATAGGTTGTAGAGCCTTGATGTTGCGCTGGAGAGGTTTTAGTTGGGAACTGTAGATGATGGCTACTGGCATTCTGTTACGTTCTTTGTTGTGCCTGTCCTGTAGTAGGTGACTTCTGGGTACCCTTCTGGCTCTATCAGTCTGTTTCTTCACTTCCCCAGGTGGGTATTGTAGTTTTAAGAACACTTGATAGAGATCCTGTAGGTGTTTGTCTCTGTCTGAGGGATTGGAGCAAATGCGGTTGTATCTTAGGGCTTGGCTGTAAACAATGGATCGTGTGATGTGGACTGGATGAAAGCTGGAGGTATGTAGGTAAGAATAACGGTCAGTAGGTTTCCAGTATAGGATGGTGTTTATGTGACCATCGCTTATTTGCACTGTAGTGTCCAGGAAGTGGATCTCTTGTGTGAACTGGTCCAGGCTGAGGTTGACGGTGGGGTGGAAATTGTTGAAATCCTGGTGTAATTCCTCAAGGCCCTCCTTCCCATGGGTCCAGATGGTGAAGATGTCATCAATGTAGCACAAGTAGAGTAAGGATACTAGGGGACGAGAGCTGAGGAAGTGTTGTTCTAAGTCAGCCATAAAAATGTTGGCATACTGTGGGGCCGTGCGGGTACCCAAAGCAGTGCTGCTGACTTGAAGGTATAAATCATCCCCATATCTGAAATAGTTGTGGGTGAGGACAAAGTCACAAAGCTCAGCCACCAGTCTGCCGTGATATTATTGGGGATACTGTTCCTGACAGCTTGTAATCCATCTTTGTGTGGAATGTTGGAGTAGAGAGCTTCAACATCCATCTAGGATGGTGTTTTCTGGAAGATCACCAATGGATTGTAGTTTCCTCAGGAAGTCAGTGGTGTCTCAAAGATAGCTGGGAGTGCTGGTAGTGTAGGGCCTGAGCAGAGAGTCCACATAGTCAGACAGTCCTGCTGTCAGGGTGCCAATGCCTGAGATGATGGGGTGTCCAGGATTCCCAGGTTTATAGATCTTGGGTATCAGATAGAATACCCCTGGTTGGGGCATTAGGGTTGTATCTGTGTAGATTTGTTCCTGTGCTGCTTCAGGGC